ATTATTTTATAAATCTGATTCATATACATTTGTCTCCATGTAAAAACAATGTATCCTGTTGAATTATGTTAATATTAAGGAGAACAGAGAAAGAAGGCTTGCCCACCAGGTTTAAAAATAGAAAATCCAAGTCATCCTGTCCATCTGGGACCAGAGAGATAATTTTATTGTAGGTTTTCCATCTTTATTGTCACTTGATTTATTCACGTTCTAGTGGTAATTTCAGTATTTGCCACCAGATGGCACTGCAATGACATTATCTTGTAACCAGTCTTAATGCTCGAGTAGTAGCATAATGAGGTCATACTCGGATAATTGCAAAGTATGCCTCACTTCTTCAGGTTGCATTAAGCACTTCTTTTGCCATACCGTTATGTTTATGCCATCAGGTTTGATGGAACAGCTATGACAGCTAGTATTTTTAATATTCCTAGACAATTTAACTTTGTAAGAAAAGCTCAGTAGTGGAGACCAAAACCTACTGTAAGCTTAATTTGTCCAGATATTGCCATGATCAATACTACAGGCAAACACTGTCTTTAATGGCAAGCGATGAGAAGCAGCAGCAGCTCCCACCTGCCATGCACAGAGGTGTGCCTCAGTTCCTTGGCCTTGCACTTCTGAATAGGATCCCAACTTCAGGTCATCAACCGCTTGCCTATTGCATTCCTCACTTTTTCAGTGCAGAATTTCATGTTTTCCATTGTTTCTTTCCTCCTCCAAATGGAGCATCCCCCTCCATGTCCTAATTTACCTCTCAGTTCTGGTGCTCCCTGTTACATTCCGTCATGATCTACCTCTGTAGCTTGAGTTATAAGTACTGATCCAAACTGTGACTCACTGCAGATTCTAGAAAGTAGAAAGAAATAAACCTGCGAGTCCAGAGACATCTTGAGCAGTAAGCTACTTGCTCCTGCTGAGAAGCACTTCTTGTTGAGCAGACTTTAGCACCATCATAGCTGTCACCACTGAAATGCTGTTATCTGAACAATCACTTTGAAGTTGTTCAAGGGTAAATACAAATACTTTGGGATTTTTATGTGCAGATGAAGATGTGTAGCATTTACAAGTTTGCAGCATAAAAAGCTCTCATTGCTTTGTTTTAGAGGTCCAATGCCTCCCTGATTTTCAGCAGGATCCTGATATTTGGTAGGGAAGTAATGCTGCAATACAGAAAATTAAAAGCTAGAATAGTTGCTTCTCACTATGTCTCATACGGCACACAGCTGGATGGTGTGGGTTTTGGAAAAACACCCAAATCCTTGATAGTGTTAACACTTTAGCATACACCAAACTGAACCTTCATCTATAGCAGACAAAATGAAAAATACCGGCAATTTTCACAATTCTGCTCCTGTTTTCTGCCACTGAAATGTTATCATCCTTAGGGGAATAGTGATTGTACTATAGACAGTCATGCATATGCAGACTATTGTATTTATGTGAATAATTTTAAATACACAACCATTTGCAAGATCATTATTCAAGGCTATACATGAGTCAGAAAGGGAGTCTGGCAGTACATGTAAAGGCAGTATATTACTAATAGAGGAAGTCGTGACCTTTTTAAGGTCTTAAAATAAATTCCAGGCCAAAACAAACTTTGGTAGTACAAAATTAGGGTTGTCTGTTGTGGCTTTTTGAACATGAAGTTGAATAAAATCAGGCTTGCAAAAGAAACCTTCAAGAATTACAGTGAAAACAAATTACTATGTGATCATAACTATTATTCCCGCACTCTTCTGAAATGACTTTCATGTACTTCAAATACTTTGACTTCAAAGTCAAAGTATTAAATATAATAATATCAAACTTATTGAGAGTGGCTGGAACAGTCTAGCAGAACTCATCTTGTGATAAGAGTTGAAATTAGTAAGTCATAAAAATTTAAGTGGATGTTTATAACAGAAGGACAGCATTGGAACAAGACCTTTAAGGGATCCATTTTGTCTCCTTTCAAAACATTTTTTTGTTAACTGGTGTCAGTGGCAAGGTGTAGCAATCACTGAGCCACAAAGACTCTGGACAGTTAGGTAGGAGATGAACTATCTGGGATTGTTCTGATGAATGAGTAAAATGTGAAATGATACATTGTAAATGAAGTTGAGGAAGTGATTGAACATAGCAGATATGGGGTTCTTTTTGTACATCACCCTAAAATGTTTGACTATAGGGCATGTTCAAATACCTCCTGCTCAACAAAGTTTAAGAACAGTGCAAGTATGTGCATTATGGTTATACCATGAGTCTGACTAATGAAGATAAGCTAAGGATGCATGAGCATACCAAAAATCTATATTTTTTTTCAGATATATTAATTATCATTTTCTTGTTTCTGGAAGTTGGAATTTTATTGATCTATTTTACTGGACTATCATTTACTACTGAGATGTTGCTACAGCTAAGGAAAGTTAAGAGTCATATGGAGTTTGTGAACACTCCTTGTTCCTCTTATTGACTTTTTTATAGTATGCAGGAAATCATGGTTGTATGCTTAAATGGTTGTAGCTTTTATTACTCTCCTGGGTTTGAGCAGGTGGTAGGCTTTTTGGGTAGCAGGCTACAGCCATGGCCCCCTGTGAGAAGTTTCTCGAAGCTCCCCCAGCTCCAAGTTGGACCCACCCCTGGCCAAGGCCAAGCCAACCAGCTGCATCTCTGTGAGAACATATTTAAGAAGGAACCTGGAAGGAAGATTTGGATTTGTGAGGAGGAGTTGCAATATCTCCATGATCACCAAGGTCAGCGGAGGAAGAGAGGAAGAAAGGGGAAGGAGGTGTGCCGGAGCAGAGACCCCCTGTATCTTGTGGTGAGACAGCAGGGTGGCCCCCCCCCGTCACCCATGAAGGTCTACAGTGGAGCAGACACTGATTTATGGCCTGTGGGGGCCCCCACACAATCAGTTAAGGTGGCCGTGCCCAAAGTCAGCCAGGACTCTGTGGGAAGAAGCAGCCCCCACTGTTCTAGTTTGGTGCTGAGAGGATTGCAGCATAAGGGGGTGTCCCACACCAGAGCAGCGAGGGAAACGCTGTAGCCTGTGGGAGGGACATCAGAGAAAGTTTGTGGACAACTGTCTCCTATGAGAGGGGGACCATGCTGGAGCAGGGGAAAGACGTTCCAGAAGCTCCTCCCACTAAAGATGGAAGAAGCAGCAGCACTGACTGCACCCCCCATTCCCTGCCCCTTGTGCTGCTGGGGGAGGAGGTAGAGATATCGGGAGGAGAGCTGAGCCCAGGAGAAAGGGAGGGGTGGGGGGAAGGTGTTATCAAGATGTGGTAATGCTTCTTACTGTCCTACTCTGTCTGTTAAGTGTTGTTGTTAGTATCTGTAAGAAATTTATGTTCTGTTTTTCTTCTCTAACAAGTCTGCCTATTGCCCACGACCATAATGGGTACTTTACCCCTCCCCGTCCTATCTCAGACCACCAAGCCTTTTGCTTTATTTTTTCTTTCTCAGCCTTGAGGGGGAAGGGGGGGAATGAGTAGCTGTGTGGTGCTCAGTTGCCCTCTGAGCTCAAATCACGACAATTCCTAATCTAATTTGGAAAGCTGTGTCTGAAAACCATGGCAATTTTATTACACAGCATTGGCAATAACATAACAATCAGACTACTATGCATCTCCCTTGTCACATCTACTATGCTTTCATTCTTTACAATGTAGTCACATAATTTCTAACATATATTTCATCCCCTTTACATGCTTACCAGTTTTAAACAAACTGTTGGTTTGCTGTAAGTTGGTTCCTTTTTGTCTTGTTATTGAATCCTGAATATATGACAAACCATAGCTCTTTGGACAGTCAAGGCAATTTAGTGATCCCATACTGTTACTCTAATGCCTCCCTCATGTTCCTACACTGCCTGACTTCCTGCCATTTCTGTGAGTAGATACCCTTCCTCTACCATCTGTGTTTTCCAATTTTCAGAGGTTTAAATTTGGGTTTAATCTGATGCCCTACACCCACGAGTCTGCTTCAGAAACAGGTGGGCTGATAAATTAATGCTGTTTGGGAACTTGTATTTTCTCCAGCTCCTGGTACAAGCTCAGAGATATGAGAAAAAGGACTGAGATGTTTTCTGTGTCTGAAATGGAAAAACAAGACACAGTAACTTAAAATATTCCCCAATGGACAAGGAAATATCTGAGCAAGGGATTCATGCCTGTTATAGAATTAACTTTTTCTTGAATATCATGCTTGACATTGCATTTTCAAAAGAATAGTACATGCCATGCACTAGCTGAAGTAACTATTAACCATGTGAGATTTTGTCAATGCTGTAATTCTCTTAGTAAAACAAATAATAGTTATTTTTCTCCTGAAGTCTCGCTCTATTGTACAGGAGTTCCCCTACGTGATGCAAAGCCACATGGGCACCTGAAGCGCTCAGGCTGCTGTGGTAATAAGACTGAAAAACCGATCAGGCTTTCTGCGAGGCTCCAGGCAGACTGATGAGGTTTGTCTGAGAAATCGCACGCCAGTTGAATTACTGGTTGAAGTACACTGATCAAACCAGGCAACTTGGGCATCTGGCAAGTGAGGAGGAGAGAAAACTGTAGCCTTGTGCTGTGGATGAGAGACACATATAGTTCTAGCTACAAGAAGGGGTGCCCAAGGGAGGAAACGTCTGACTCCACACCTCTTAGAAGTCATCACCTTTATAATGGAAGCTGTTGCCCTGTAAGAAACTGTTCTGAGAGCAGCAGATGTAACAAGGCCTCTCCCCCCTCACACCTGTCTCCCATATCTAACTGTGAACGCTTTTCCTGCGCTGTCTGCAGGTCCTCCCTCTCATTTCCATTCCGCAGTGCCCGGGGGTTCCTTCCCCCAAGCTCTTCCCCTGCAGCCGCCTCGGCACCTCCCGCGTGACGCCTGCCCCAGCGACCAGGCACCCCACCGGGGCACCCCGCCTGCCCGCCCTTTCCTGAGGGGAAACCCCGCCTGCTTGCCCTTCCCTCAGGGGAGACCCCACCACGGGGTTCTTCCGCCTGGGGACAGAGTGCTTGCGGAACCTGAACGCTTCTGAGACCACTACTCTAAGCCAGTATGGTTGCGTTTGCGGCTGCTCTCAGCGCGGGCGGGTCAGGCACCGAGGGAGCTGAGCTAGCAAGGAAGCTTCTGGGTGGGTTATCCTGTCAGGCAGTGCATCCCGCTGGTCAGCAGCTGCCTCTGCAGACGCAAGGACCGATTCCTCGCGGTTTGAAGCAGGTTCGCCTGTACGCCGAAGCCGAAATGGAAGAAGAGCTGCTGAGAGAGGGAGGACGCCATTAAAGGACACGGCCCCTCCACGGCCGCGCCGAGCGGCGCATGCGCGGACCCCTCCCCGCGGCCAGCAACGAGCAGAAGCGGCGGCAGGCGGGGCTTTCCTCAGGGACGTTACAACTCGTCGAGGTTGGCAGCGGCGCCATTTTGAACTGACAGGGGGCAGGGGTTGGTGGCTGTTGAACCGGGCTCCGCGTCCCCCAGGAAAACCAGAGAGAACGGAGCGAGGGCTGAATATGGCAGCGAATAGGAACTTGAAACAAGTGCGGATCGAGAACAGCTCCCCAGCGGCGCCGCTGGGCATGGTGGGGGGTGGCGGCGGCGGCGGCAACCTGAAGGGATTGCGGGGCCTAGAAACGGAGAGTGAGGCAGCAGCGGCCATGGCGCTAGTGCCGAGCAAAGAAGGTGGAGATGAAGAGCAGGAGGTTGGGTTCACCATCGATATCAAAAGCTTTCTCAAGCCTGGCGAGAAGAGCTACACGCAGCGCTGCCGGCTGTTCGTGGGGAATCTGCCAACTGATATCACCGAGGAGGATTTCAAGCGCCTCTTCGAGCGCTACGGGGAGCCCAGCGAGGTCTTCATCAATCGGGACCGCGGCTTTGGCTTCATTCGCTTGGTGAGGACTCGCGCGAGCCTCCATGGCTGCCCCGTAACCCAGAGGCTGCCTTTGCAGGCGGGGGACTTTTCTCCTTTGCTCCCCTCCCCGCCTTTCCTTGTCGCGTGGCTGTATAAAGAACCAGTAGCTGCCCCTCATTCTCTCGCTTTCTCTTTGCTGCTAGCGCTGTTCTCTCCGCTTCCTCTTCCTTCTCTCCTGTCTCCTGTTTGTTTCTATACATCTAAGTCACAGGCCTGCACTGTGAGGAGCTTTCCCAGCCGCTCGTGTTTAGGCTCCCCTCTCAATACGCGGTAACGCCGCTGGTTCCAGGGCTCCCCACCAGTTCCCGATTACGTGCTGCTACCGCGGGTACTCCTGCAGCCTGGTATTCTTCATTAAATGGAAGATGTGGTTGCGCGATCTGCTTTATTCTTGTGATACAATAAAGACTTCCTTTATTTGACTGAGATAATTTATCGTACTTAAGGAAAAAATCCTTCTTTGTGCAGAAGCAAATTTCAGCCTGTACAGTTCGTTATGAATACACGTTTTGTCTATGAAAACGCAGTTAATTTTAAAGAGTGGACGGAATTGTTTTGAAATATCGCTGCTCACACATTGTTAAAACAGAACATGTAATCTCAGAATTGCAAAGCAGTGGGACCTTGGGTTATTTAAATTACTTGCATCCAGATAAGGTTAGATTTTTAGTGATAATAAGTATTCAATCAAATATACTCAAGTTGAGCATGAAAAAAGGAATCATATGAAAAGCTTATGATACTGTATTTAAATGTCAATCTAATGTGCAGGATTAGTTTTCATGACTGCCATGTCTAGAATGCACTGATTTATATCATTCTGGGAACAGCTTTGTGTGTCTCTAGTTATGATTTCTCCATATATTTTACTGGTTAGGATTTTTTGCTTTTTGTTTGTCATCTTAAAGATAAGTGCTTGTGGCATTCTGCCATACATTTTTTACCCTGAGAATCCCCCAGACTGAAATAGCAATTTGCTGGAGGAAGCGAGATACATTTACATGTCATTAGTCAGTTTTAAATGTAATATAGATTAGATGTAGCTTTTATATGAACTTCTCTTTTATGTTATGTTTGGGGACTATGTTATTTTTTAACGGTTTACCTAATCAGTTGAGCTGTGGAGAAAATAGCAATGGTCTAAAGAATAATTTCTTTCAATGTGAGGGATTGGAGGTATCAAACTTGGTGAAAATATCTGAAATGAGAAAAAAGGCAGATATTGATACAGACTGTCTCATGGATATGGGTGCAGAAAGGCCGTAAATGTGAGAATGAATACATGAACAAAGAAGGTAATTTCATCATCTGTTGATGAAATTCGAACTGGACATTCATTGAGAGTTCATCCAACAGTGATAATGAGCAAGTGTGATATTTTCACTTATTTAAAAACAAATTGAACACCCAAACCACCTTAGAGCCTGTAGTATGATCTTTGAAAACACTTGTTTCCTACTATATAGAGCTAGGAATGCAGAATATAAACATTTGAGTAGGTAAATACAAAGTAGCATCAAGTCTTCAACTTCCTACTGAAAGCCTTTACAGAGCAGCATAAATGTATCCACCATAATGAGAATTTAAGTCCTAATGTGCAACAGAAATTTGTGCCTACTTTGGTTTTTAGAATAAATCATAGGGGGTGACAAATGCATAGGTTTTTTCAATCAGTGAATGGGAACTTTGGCTTTTTTTGGGGGGTGGGGGTGGCAGGAGAATGGATGGCCTGATGCTGCTGTGCTCAAGTTAGAGGAAAAAAAACTTTGCTACTTTTTTTGGGGGGGGTGTGGGGTGTGGTAGGAGAATGAGGGAGGAACACAAGACTGGTATCTGTTGTCTTTGAAAATAAAATAAATAAAATATTTTATATCTTGAAAAAGGAATCTAGGACATTGGCTGAAATAGCAAAGGCAGAACTTGATGGTACTATTTTGAAGAGCAGACCACTTCGAATTCGATTTGCTACACATGGAGCAGCCCTGACGGTCAAGAATCTTTCACCTGTGGTTTCTAATGAGCTACTGGAACAAGCATTCTCTCAATTCGGGCCAGTGGAAAGAGCTGTTGTTGTAGTAGATGATCGTGGCAGAGCTACAGGAAAAGGTTTTGTAGAGTTTGCAGCAAAACCTCCAGCACGGAAAGCTCTAGAAAGATGCAGTGATGGGGCATTCTTGCTAACAACGTAAGTTCACAGGCTTTTTGTTTGAATTGGTGTGAATATATATTTCTAATGGGAAAGAAAACTGTGTTCATGGATAATACCTAGTTCTTATTTTATTTACAAATTATGAAAGCCATGAGGTGAGAAGTTAAGGTGTTTTATATAAATACCCCAAATACTTGAGCTTTTTTTGGTGAAGTAAACCATCTTTTTCTGCTTGCTGTTTGTAATTACACCATATGAGAGTCCAATAGCAGCATTTTGCTTTTCCTTGTCTATATGCAACAGTACAATTCCTTCTTTATATAGTAGGGCTTTTGCTAGTGAGACTTTATTTTCATTGATTGCACTTCTCCTGATCCCAGTAACAATGTGCCAAAATAATATTCCTCTGTTTCTTAGGGAAACACTGTACTACGTTGCTGATACTTCTGTAAACTCAGGAAAGTGTTGTTCTGTTTATTTCTATCTCAGGTTTTATTTGTGGCTTGAAAGCCCAGAAGTACTTTTTCTTTTTTTCTTTTTGCAAATGAAGGCTTAGATTCTGCAGAAGTGTATGGCAACAATCTCTGGAAAACTTTCTATTTTCAAGGGCAAGCTTGCAAATTACAGCACTTCTTTCTTTCATCTGTTATTTCTGTACTTGCTGAAGAGAGTTGTTAACTGCTGTGCTTTAACAATTCACTGGTGACATTTGCAAATGCTTTCTTAAAGGCTGTATGAAATGACAGATATTCAGGATTTTTTTTTATTTTTGATTTTTCTAATTCTCATTTAGGAGAATAACGCTGTGGTTCCACAGCATGGAAACTTGCTGCCATCAAATTGGAGAACTTGCAGTTCTTTTCTCTTCTTGCCCTGGCTGTGCTGTTGATTTTTTTATCCAGATGAGAATTTTCTGATACTTCCACAAGCCACTTGTGCTTGCTAAAACAATAGAAAACTGTTCAGTTGTTTTTTTGTTGGGTTAATTTTTGGCTGTTCAAGCATGTGAATTTGCTTGCTAACATGGGTGCTATGTACATCAGGTCTAGCAGAGGATAGGGCAGGAGAAAATGTTGCTAGGAGGAAATTGGAGGTGGGGAAAGGGTCTGGAACTCCTTTCTCATGATAATCTCATAAATCTTGTGTGCCACTGAACTGACCTGGTGGCTACACAGTAAATTCAATCTGAATACATCTTTACTGTTATCAGTAGATGCCAGCAATTTGTTCTTGTCCCCTGGGTTTTCTTGGCATTAGTATTTGAGTGGAAGCACAGTGAGCCAGACAAGCGAACTAATCTAGTTCAGTGTTACATGAATCCTATTCTTGGTGTGAGAGATGTGGCAGAGAAAAAGATGCTGGGGTTTGAGGGAGGGTGTTTTCTTTTTACCAGCTGGATAAATTAGTTGGTTTGAAATGACCATCTAACTGTGGCCTGAGTGAATAAAAAGCACTTGATAATTGTCTTGTTTAGGTGGCTGACACATTCCCTAATGAACAGTTGCAGAGATAATTAGCGTGAATCTGTTGCCATGATACTTTGATGTTTTGCTTCAGAATCTAAAATTTTACATTTTCAGCTGAAAATTCTTTGCCTGATCAGAAGAAAATCTTTAAATTCATGGGCTAAATATATCAAAGCTAGGCATTTGAAATGTTGATTTAGAGATCTAAAATTGTTAAGTCAAACTTAACACCACAATTCAGTTGCATTTAAAAACAGAACTGCCAGCAATTACCATGCTGATAACATCAGGAGAAACAGTTGCTGAGTTGTGCTCTGTGATTTCAGACTTCATCTTTTTAATCTGTACTTGATGCCCAAAGATTTCTTTTTCAGCTGTTGTTAAAATATATTGGTACTTTATTTTTCCTATGAAAAGACCTGGAAAGTGAAATAAAGGTGTGGAACACAATAAATAAGTGCTGGTGTTTTGAAAATAGTGTTTCAAGCTCTTTTCTTACTGCTTTAAGATGTGTATTCTAGGCTATGTTCCCAAAACTGATGCAGAATGCTTTTTACACAATTTAGGATCCTTATGCTGCCATCAGCGGCAGTACTGGCTAATACTTGCCTCTGATCGCTACAGATAATGGAAATTCAAGGACAGTATTTTCAAAGATAAATTTGAATTCTTGTTTGTGAGATTATGGTGGTTCAGAGAATGGGTTTTAAATAATTTGAGCAGAAATGTTTTTCTAATTATCACTGGAATATTAATGCCAAATTATCAAGATGTTTTCAGTTATAGAGTAACTTTCAAAAGTAACTTAATATACGAATAGGTAGTGTTTCTCTTTTTTGGGTTGGTTTGGTGCTTTCCCAGTATAATCATGGCTCCTGTGTTGCCTCACTGATGAAAACAAAAAGATTTGCTAAATATTTTGTAATAGTTTATGGATGGTTTTGAGATTTTATTTTAAATCTTTAAATACTTCATAGCAAACAGAACTACATCAAGTAAATTGTGGTTTCTAGGTGGAATAGCTGGTTTGGGGTATAGAAACGATTACTTTAAAAGATAATTCTTAAAATCAAGACTCATAGAAATTATGTGAGAGGAGTTACAGATAATGCATATTAGTGTTTTGGAGTGTTTCCTCAACATACTAAAATAACTTCAACTGCTTCATTTATGATTCAATTATTAAATGGAAACTGTCTTCCAGAACACCTCGACCTGTTGTTGTAGAACCAATGGAGCAATTTGATGATGAAGATGGGCTCCCGGAGAAGCTAATGCAGAAAACACAACAGTATCACAAGTAAGTTGTGTTTAGCTTTATTTTATAAAGCATGATTTATATACTTAGTTAGCTTGGTAAATATATGGTAACTTTTATTTTTCAGTTTGTGCAACAGGAAGTAGAGTTTTGTATGTTGTGCTGTTTTGTGTTAAAAGATTAAATAGGACCTTGCTGACATTTCCTAATCATAGTAAAATTCAGACTTGTAGGTTTAATATTCTATGCATTTACTAAAGTAGATAGATTCCTGGCCTACACTGAAATCAGTTGGAGATTGTGGCCAGCCAAGCTATAGTCTTTTATGGATTAGAGGTGTGGTCTAATACTGCAGAGATTTACATACCCGCAGATTTTTCTGTTCTCTGAATAGCTGTTTGTAAAGTCAGTGGAGTGTAAATCTTTGTAGCTTCCACACTTAAGATAAAACTTTGAGCATGACATGAGAAAGTGAGTCTTGGTTATGAGGTGGAAGAGAAGTCACCTAATCTGATAATAGTAATTTTAATATTGAAATTTGATTGCCACTTAGAAATCATATTGCTTGAAGCTAAAATGCTTATTCTGATAAGGCTGAAGAATAACACTTTTAAAAAATGTGTCACTGTTTGTTACAGTGTTAGTATTAGAATGTGATATAAAATGTTGACATCTTTTAATGTTTAGAGATTCTGATTAATATTCTGAGCTGTCTATTAAGCTTTGATATTAATTTAAATAACTGTTTTTATGAATTGACTGCTTGCTTCAGAAGGCTGAACACAGTTAAACTAGTGTTGCAGTTCAGTATTTTGTACTGATGTAAATATGAATTTTTATCTTAAAATTATATAAATTGAACAGATCTTTATTTGGACAATTTCTCTGATCACATTATTTGTATTAACAGCTAAATTAAGCTTTGGTTTAGAAAGTAGTCACCTGGCAGATTGATTTAAAGTCAGATCTACACTTGAAGTGACTGTTTATAAATTCTTTGGCTGTTACAGCTGTTGATATAAATGTGTCCTTCTGTATATTTTAACTGCAAAATTTTCATTAGGGAAAGAGAGCAGCCTCCACGTTTTGCTCAGCCTGGAACATTTGAGTTTGAGTATGCTTCACGGTGGAAGGCTCTTGATGAGATGGAAAAGCAACAGCGTGAACAGGTTGACAGGAACATTAGAGAAGCCAAAGAGAAACTAGAGGCAGAAATGGAAGCAGCTAGACATGAGCATCAGCTAATGTTGATGAGGCAAGGTAAAATCAGATAATCTACTAGTATTAAATATGTTTTGTCATAGATTTTCTTTGTGTAGCATTGAGCTGGGGATTTTGCCAGACACTATTTAATTAAATTAATTGAACTGAGAAAAAGGAAGTAATATTTCTCCTTACACATATTCCTTAATGATTTGCAGAGATGAATTAAGAAACTGAGAAAGGGGTGGTTGGTTAGGTCTGTTTTCTTCTCTTCTTGAATTTGTTCAGTGTAAGTAGTTTATGTAAAGAAATTGAATGGTAGCTTCATAGTCATCAGTAAAATTATTTTCCATTTTTGGTGTTGCTTACTAGATAGGACTAAGTACTGTTTGTGGGCTGTGTGTGTGTGTGGGGGGGAACAAAAAATGATAGTTTGTACTTTTGGATGTTCTGTGCACCTGTATGATTTAAAATGCTTCAGTAGCTAATGTTACTTTTCTTTTTCCTGTTTGAAGCCCAGCTGAGAAGTCTGATGTGCACATAGTGTTAGATGTATGTAACAACTGAAAGTAACTCACAGTTGCCAAGAATTTTGGTCGTTCTTGCAATTTTAAGATTATGTATCCCTCTTCTGTAATTGTTTGAACATCTTGTCTTCTGCTAGTGTTGGGGGAAAAGCCCTCTAGCAGTTGCTTTCAAGCCCTGTCTTTAAGAATGGGGCTGGGTGGGGCTTGTGTTTCTTGGGCAGAGAGGGCAGTAGCAGGGCGAGTATCTCTGTACTTCTGCTTGTTAGCCTTCTACCTAAACACGTTTTTCCCAGAACACTGTGGACAAGCAATCACTGTTTTCTAGTCCGGAACAATTAAACCACTACTTGATTTTAGTTCCTTCTGTATGACTGCTAAATTGCAAGACCTGAGTGGATAGAATTTAAATGTATTGCAGATATATCAGAAAGGATCTCAAGGCTTGTTGCATAAATGAAACATTAAAGTATTTTCTTTTTAAATTTTAATTTAAGGGAGATCATGGCTAGCTAAAAAAAAATTATCTCTGAGGTTATTAAATCAAAAGACAGTCTAATAACTAGCTTGATAGTCTGAATAAGAGTGCCGTGCCATTTTAAAGGGATTTAGACTTGAGATTGTAAATAGTGGATGCATTTCAAAACTTAAACCCAGGTAACTCATACAATCTGTTTGCTGCAATTATTTGTCTTTACTTAATGCCTACTCGTAAGAGGACATTTTTGTTGGTAGTACAACTTCCCTGTGCAAGACTGGTTTATCTTATTTTTTTCTGCTGACTTGAATGATGTGTTGAAAATACCTATATGAGCTGGATTAGAGTATTATCAAGGTTGGTGGATTGAAAGCATGCAAATGCTTGAGTATGTTGAACGTAAATACAGTTTATTAAAATAGGTTTTAAAACGTTTTCATAACTGGAAAAGAGATTAAAGGGAGCATATTTCATTTTTTAGATAGTATTCTTAAATCCACTGCAACTGAAAGTTGTCATTAGGAAAAAGTTTACTTTGCCTTTTTTTTTTCAAAATAGGTGTGCTTGTTTTTAGTGTGAAACCATATTATTTATGTAAGATCTTGTACGGAAATACAAAGCATAATAAAAAACTGTTTCAAAATGCCAAATAGTTACTGCAGCACCTGAAATGACAACTGTGAAGTTGTTTCTTGGTTTATTTTCCAAGCAAAAAATGTGAAAGCATTTGGTTTGCATGTAAGCATAGCATCTCACAGGTGAGGAATGTGAATGTTAATGTGATATAACAACAATGTAATACATAGTATAGCCCTTCCTTTTCAGTTACACACATTTTTATTGTTGTGTATATATGTGACTGATATTGGTAAAGATGGCCCAATGCTGAAAATATAGGTGGGATAAATTTACCAAGTTTACTGAAATTTACTTGATGATTTGTTAATATTTGAGTGCTAATGATCTGGTTTTAGAACTTACACTCTTTATTTTTTTTAGAGTTTATTCACCTGTTGCGTGTACTTCATGGCAAGGTTAGGGATGACTTAAATTATCATGATGTCTTATTGATGTTTTAAACTGAGACAAGATAAGTGGCCTGTTTATTAAGAAAGAAAAGGTCTTGATGGTGAAACATGGGAGAACAGCTTAGGTGTGTTTTGTGGGTATGGGGGTTTCTTTCAAGGGCGCTGTGAAGGAAAAAATATTCCTTATTTTGAATATCTATTAAGCTCCCCTTCTGTGTGGGAAAGGAAGAAAACTTACTCCTTCTATTAAAGAGCCACTAGAACATGAACGCTTTTGGTGCTAATATTCCAGTGAGGAAATGTGCTCTTTCCCCATTTGGTTAATGGAATACTTGTCTTTGGTACCAAATAACGTGGAATTTTGTTCACATTATTAGATTTCTGCTTATTTACCTGAAGATGTTTAGTTTGCCAAGATCTAGGGGTTAGTAAACATTCCTTTTGTTTTAATCATGTCAAGTCTCCAGCTTCAGAGCGTATGAAAATAAGGTGTTTTTTTTCTCTTGTATTTATTTTCAGATATTAGCTGCTTCTAAGTCTTGCTGGTCTGAACAGTGTCTCTGGGTATAAATTTAGATCATGACAAGACTATTAATTATATTAATGAGATTGTATCATAGGGTTTTTAAGAAAGGTGCATTTAAACTTTTGAGGCATCAGAATTAATATTTTTGTATATCTGATACACAAACCACAGATTTAAAGGTGTATTGAAGTAGTTTTTTTGAAATAGAAAATGCAATATATTAATTGTCAGGAGCTAAAAAAAAGACTGGAAGGGTGAGCTTACTTGAGTCTAGATACTTCTGCAGGTGAAGGTTTTGAAATTACTTTAGGAGAGCTAGTAAGACTTGAACTAGAACGTTGGCTTTAAGTACTCAGGGTTTTGTGGTGTGGTATTAATACTGAAGATAGACTTCATTCTTTTGATATGTGTAATTTTTCACTTTTAAGTGTCATGTTTTGACAGATTGAGTCAGAAGTAATTTGTACAGCAGAACACATGTTTCCAAGTGTAAGTAAATTGGCATGATGTTTCTGATCTACATATTGCTGGTATGCTTCAGGTTTTTGTAAATATTCACTCATAATGGTGGTTAAATAGTTTATGAAAATACTGGAAAACATGACTGAATTTAACCAGAAGCTTCATTCTTTATATGGAAGCTGGGCATTTACTTTTTATTTTTAAAACCTGTAAAATCAGCAGCTAAAACAACTTAAAAATCATTTTGGGCTTGGTATTCCTGCTTGTAGGATTAACTTCTGAGGTGAGAGCATACTTTCACCTCTGCTCTGTGGAAGGTTGAGGATGAAATTAAGACCTTGCCTGTTTTTTAAGCACAACAAAGTGCAGAAGTTTTTTGTTTGTTTCTTGTTTGTTTTTTGGTGTTTTTTTTTTTTTTTGTTTTTTTTTTTTTTTTTTACAGCTGCTTTAGTGCAGGATTTTTCTGTTTAGAGAACGGGCTTGTGTCCAACATATGCCAGTCCAGAATTACCATCATTGCAGATCTTCTAATATGAATGGCTCTCTGCATAGCCCAAACCTGTAGATCTCTATTTTTATCTGTCTAGTAAGGTGTTGTGCCAAGAATCTGCCATTGTCAAATGGTACTGGATCATAAATTGATATGTTGAACTTTATTGGCATTCCTGTAATCATTAGTATTTTAATCAGAACTATGTTGTGGAAGAAAATTAAAGAGGAAATGGGAAGAGTAGTTGGACTCTACAGCTTAAGAATAAGGGGGAGAAAATGATAAATTTGTAGCAATTAGTGGTAGAAAGAGAGTGGGAAATCCTGTGCCAGTGTATTAACACAAGAAAAAGGGAATGCTACATAAATTTGAAAGAACAAATTACTGAAAAGGAAACATCTTTTCCCACAGTGGACAATATTGAGCATAGAATGGGTCAGTTCCTGATCTCAGTAACACCCTGAAACCTAAAGGTTAATTTGAAAAGAAAAAAATGCACTTGTTCTTGGAAGTAATCCAAAGGTTATTTTTAAAAAAATAAAAAGTTGGCGTGTGGTACTCCCCAAGTTATCAGGATAGAAGTGGCCGGGCCTTCTGTGTCAAGCACAGTTGGAAAGAAGCAGCCCTCAGACTTTGTGATTTGAGTGCATCTTCAATGTAATCATACTCTGTTGAAGTGTGAAATGTGTTAATTATGCAGAAGAGATTGGAAAAGCAAGCCTGCAAAATGTGCTTGAGAAGGGACTTCTAATGTCAATAAGGATGCTGTGAGAGTAAAAATCTGATAATGTTCTTTGTTAGAAAAGAAAACAAATACATGATATTTTGGTGAAATGCACTGGTTGTTGTAGTTGATTTTGGATATTAAAGTAAAAGGTTAAGTTATAATAATATGCAGATGTGAGTTTGAGGAAAGTGATTTGAGTAGCTAAAAAGATGCTTTAATATAGTGAAGAAATACTTAGAGAAATATGTGGAGTAGTTGAACTAAAGTATAAAAGGCATATGATGAGTGGTATAGTGGAATGTTCCTCATGGTGTCTATATATAATGTCATGTGGCCAATAGTCTGTGAAGGCAGAAAAGGCAAATAACTGCTTTCTAACAAAAGGTAGAATTAATATTCATTGAAGAAAGCAAATTTCCAGGCAGCAATCAATAATGTGACTGGTCAGAAACTACTATAACAAAAGTAATTACTATTACTTGTGCTCTGCTTTTTAAGAACATTTAAACTGCTTTTTAAGGGGATATGGCTGTTCTTTTCTGGTAGTGTTAAAAGAGTAGTTGTTTGCAAATTGCTGGAAGGAGTTATGTGATAAATCTCCATGGAGGCTCAGATTACATGTGCCTGATGTTCATAGCATTTTTTTTTCTGATGTGTGCCATGCAGTGGTCTGCAATAGGTAGTGGAGTGTATAAACCCGTATATATTGTACTTGATTTTTGCTAGTGTGACTTTAGCAGTACACAACATTGTGGGATAATTGATGTCTTGCCCTAGATATAAAACCAGGATGCGATTTAAGAGATTGAGAGTTTTTTCTCACTTTCTTTGTCTGAAGGCTTCAGATTTCTGTTTTGGAGGCTTTGCCAGTCCTGTACCTTTCTGTGTTTTTGTGAGCTCTGGATCCAGTGTGTTTTTTCATATACTAGACTCAGCTTTACGGGAAGAAACTAGTTAGTTGCGTTGAGCAATTTCTTCAAAAATTGAATGTTAGAACTGTAATCTGACAGCAATAGCTGTTTTTTGTGTTGACACATAGTTGACTGGCAGCTTTTTATCTTCATTAAATTTTTAATCCTGTTAGATCTCATGCGACGTCAAGAAGAATTGAGGCGTTTGGAAGAACTTCGAAATCAAGAACTTCAGAAACGCAAGCAGATACAATTGAGGTATTTTGTCTTCTACTGTGCAAAGGTGCGGCATGTAGCCGCTGTAGGCCTGTGTGAATTTAGATACTCTAGCTTGTAGAGCTTGCTTTTTATATCAAATTAAAATGTTTCTGCTCCTAAAGAGTTGCTTTTCAAAAGCGTAATGTGTGATGTTGCTGTTATGTTCTTGAACAAAAAAATTATCACTCACTTGAAACTATTCTTATATATTCATATATTTATTGAATTTTTAAATTTATTTCAGCTCTACTCTTTCCTCTAAATTTCTGAGATTACTAAATAGTGTAGAAATGTCTTAACATAAATTGTTTTTTTAATATTGTTTTTAACCTTGTGACTGTAGTACAGCTGTAATAGATATGAACGTGCTTCTAAGATTTGTGGGCAGGTGATCTGTATGTGGATTAGCACTGTAAATTTATAGTCTGACATGAGATTCCTGAGGATATTTTCACTTGATATTATGCTATGTTGCAAACAGTTTTTCCTTTAAGATCTGATTCATACAAATATTTGCTTTCATGCATCTGCTAAATTTAAGAAAATAGACACAGTATCATCATGATGTTGGAGTTTATACTTTTTATCTTTAATATCACAAGAAATGTAGATGAGAGAGAACAAAACAAAAACACCGCTCAAAGTTAAACATGTGTCTTTTAGCAGTATTGAAATGTTTTAATCTGTAGTGACTTGTTAAAAATGGGAGTATTTTAAGCTGTTTACCAATATGTTGCTGGAAGAACAGGTATAGAATGTACTGGTATTGTAGTTACCTGTACTCCAGTTTAAAAAAACAAAACAAAAAACAAACAAAGAAACAAAAACCACAAGCAACAACAACAACAAAAATCCCCCCAAAACAAACAAACTTCAATAATGTTCAAACCCATCAGGTGTAGTAGATGTACTTTACACTATATAAAAAAATAAATAATAACCTGTTTTGTTCATATGCTTGATCTTATCTCCTGAGACTGATTACAAGCCTGAACAGGTCAAGAGTGTAAATTGACATAGTTTTTGAAAAATATTCTAGACATGAAGAAGAACATCGACGTCGTGAAGAAGAGATGCTGCGCCAGAGGGAACAGGAGGAATTACGACGACAGCAGGAGGGAGGATTTAAGCCAAATTTCATGGACAATGTAAGTAAAATTGTGACAGAAGTCCAAGTTGTAAAAGAATCTTTTTGTTCTAATATTTTTTTATATGCTAGCTATTGATCTGCTGCCTTCTTGTTTACTGTTTTTCCTTCAGTATTCCATCATTCTCATGAGTGGTACAAATTCAGTAGTGTAGTTATTCTCTTGTATGATGGCATCACTGTTATTCTTCCTATAAGGTGGTGATGCAACACTTCAGTCAAATGAAGGTGTTCAGATAATAATCTGCTTATTTTATTCAGGAAATGAATTTTTCCAATGAAATAATAGAATTTTTATAAGTGGGAGTTCATGGTAATAAGTGATGTTTCAATGAGGAGGTGTCCTAGTTTGACTGAATGTTTAAATTTTAAACCAGTTCAGGCTGTTAAGCTTGTTTGAATTGCTTATTTTGGTTTATGCTTAACTTACTAAGAATAATATACTTCAGAAACAAAATGGGCAGTGTTAACTTCATGTGGAGCCTAAAATCACTCTCCCCCTTTGACCCTACTGTAAAACTAGATGAGGAGAACTTCAACATCTTTACTAAGGGAGACCAAAAGATTATAAAGGTGGAAAAAAAAAATTGTCCTCTGCTATAATTTCTACGTTATTTATATTAGTAATTTAGGTGTGTTCTGCCTCTGAAGACTCATCCTGCAGGACTAGCAAAATATCAGAGGAGTCAGCTTCTAAATTTTCATGATGATCTATCATGGTCAAGGGTATGATTTTTCTTTTTACCAGCCAAAGCAGTTAAACGAATGCAATCTGTGTTGTGAATGCTTTAGGTTCATGTGAGAAGGGTACCTTTTACTGTTACAGCTATTCTTAGTGAGGAAGCCATGAATAAGAGATCCATACAATGATCTTTTATGCTATTATAGCAACTGTAGTCTGTAGGAGGGAATTTTGCTCTTTTTCACAGGTGCAACTTGGTACCTAAATCAAAAATAAACTGCTGGTTTCTCAGCTACTTTCTGATTTCGTTTTGTTGAAGAAATATGTTTTGCATTCTCAACCATAACATTTTTGGTAGGGTTGAGAAGAATATATTATATATGTTCTGAGACATCCTAAGAGAAGTTAGAAGATAAAATATTTCTTGTTTTCAGCAGGACATTTTTTTTCCTGTCCTCTGACCCTCACTGTTTTTAGTAAAGATGGGGAGGGAAGCAAAATCATTCCTTTAGTGTCACTAACAGCTATCAGTTGATTTTGCTGATTTTTTTGAAGAAACTTTTAGCGGGAAACAGTCAGTCATTTATTTCCGTATGTGCTTACACTGTAAAAGAGAACTGCTTTCAGCACGTCTTTTCTATGGGTTGATGAAGAATTCAAAACTCATGATGTCCTTTAATGTGTTCCCACGTATTATTAAACATACTTTGTGAAATAGAATATAACAGTTGTCTGATGTAATTTAGAAATAGCATTTATTGATTGTGACTTCTGTAATGCCAAGTACAAAATCTAGTATCACCTTAATATCTTCACATAGTATCTTTTGGGCTTGGCCTGACTTTATGACCCTGTAAGCTACCTGTCAGAATCCTCCTGTGGCTGATCTGAGGCACCCATGCTACTTGCTGCAGAGATCTGCAGGAAGGGGAAGCTGGGGAGCCAGTCCACAGGCTTGAGGTGGAAGTAGCTCCTTCAGATTACATTGCTGTTAGGAGACTGTGGCCTGTTTCCTGCTGATTGAGGTGCTGGGGATAATGTTGGCCACAGCAACCTCTACTGCTTTTCTTCTTGCAACTGTCTTGAGATAATGTTACTTAGCTTCAGTGCTTGAATTGCTTGCCACAGTTGGGCCTTCCTCATACTAATCTGCATCTTTAAATTCTGAACTCTATGTGAATAAAAACTGCTCAAGTTGGTGTGCTGCACATGGCAAAAATGTAGCAGAGGAGGGGAAGAGGAATGGGTCAAATGGAAAGCTCTTCAATCACTATGCATAATTTTTGTGACTTTTATATGGTGAAATTTTTTTGGGGAAAGGCAAAGGTGGAAAAATTCTTTGGAGGAGTGTAGCTTTCCCACTGAGTTGCAATACTGGAATTGTGTGTTCATCTGGAAATACTTAACACACCGCAAGAATATATAGATGTAGCTATGCAGTGACAACTCTACCAAAAAATGCTACAAGTTATATAAAGGAATATATAGTACAGGTGGTGGTTTTTTAATGTCATGTGAAGTTGAAGTGGCACGTACAATAATGTTAAAAATTGTTTCTCTAGTCTTCAGACTAATATTCTGGTCATGTATTGACATGTTTTCCTGCTAATGGCCGTTGAACTTCAAAAGAGGAAGAATTGAAACAAAATTGGAAGTGATGTATTTATTTACTTTAGTGACTATTTCTGGTAAGGGCAGCTATGTAACACTAAGCATGGCCTAGCATTTTATAGGTGTTCTTTATAACATCTTCAGGTAATTGTCCTGAAGTTTTACAGTGTGAATGGGAATTGAAAAGGCCTTTGCATTTTGCAGCAGAGAAGAATTGTAAGCCTTTTCTGAAGGTTGCAAAATGATACATAAATTCTTGTTTCAATTTAGTAGAATTTGTTACACAACTGATTTTTTTTCATTTATTCTTACTAATACTTATTTACTGTGAACAGACTCCATCTGGTAATTACTTCTAGTCTCAGATTACCTTTGCACATACACTGAAAAAAGTTATTTTCTGTTTTAAGAGTTTAAAAGTTGTCTCTTAGTGAAAATGGTGGTTTTTGATACTGGTGGATAGTTTCTACCATAATCGGGTCTTCATAAACTTTTGGCATAATCCTTATAACAATAAAGTCTCTGCCAACCATGTATTTAGAAGGAAAATAATTGTTTCTAATCCTTGTTTTTGTTTCTTAAAAGCTTTGAAAAGTAAGCTTCCTTCACTTACATCCTATTCCTTTTTACTATTCAGTGTAAAAAAAGGAGGACATAAATGGTAAGTGCAGTGACGACCAGATTTGGGACCTCTCATATAAGGCTGCAGTATTAGGCTTTCCTGTTGGAAGTTTCTTTATCTTTTCCCAAACTGTTAAACTTTGACTTTTCAGTATAACTGCTTTTGAAAAACATCTTGTAATCAAGTTCAATGCAGTTACCAATCATAAAAATATTGTCTGTGTGGGGATTTATCTTCCTGAAGCATTCTTGTTCATGGTGATGTTATACATTAAAGATGTGATTGCATTGATTGTTAATGTAACGGGCAGCATAGGGGTGCCTAAACAATTTATTAATCTAGTTATATGATCTCTAGCAGATAAGTTATTGATAAACGCTTTTGTATTGGTTAGGGTTTTTCTCTTGCTTTGTAGAATTCAGTTAGTTGAAATCTGCTGCTATAACTCAATATATATGCATTCCAATTTCTTGATAGCTTAATCAGGAAATTGTTTTCATGAAATATTTTGCTAATGTTTATTTTGCATACATAATTCTTGTTGAAAGCAGAGCTTGCTGATGGCAATTGGAAGCAATATTTTTCATCAGCACAAATATTTTGTAAAAAAATACAGTACTTCTAAGTGTTAGTAATACATTAATTATTCAAACTGTAGTGGTTGCTACCCAATTGTGAATGTCTGCCATAGATTTACATTGTTAGATCTCAGAGCCTTTTTACCAAATAATTCCAGTTCCAGGAACTACTTTTATTCATGTCATCAACTCAGAAGAGTGAGAGTGATTTGCATTTAATGTATTAAAATAGTTTTCATGTGTCTACAAAATAGACCAAAACATGTAAGAGCTGTAGCCTTAGTTCTGTGGTGCACAGATGTATATTCTGTAGTAACACTGCAAAGCAGTGTCAGGTGGGTATTGTACTTAATGAAACAGTAGCTGTAGTACTGCCCTACAGCTTACTGCTGCTCTTACTGATGATTTAAAGAGGGAGATGAGATTTCTGGATTTCCTTGTCCTCTCACCTCCAAGGACGTTCTCCCTTTTTCAACTGTAGCTTGCATACGTAAGGAACTGTTTCTTGTGAGTTCCATCAGTTTCAACTTCTGAATGTTTACTGTTCTTTCATGTAAAACTTTGTATACTAAGTGCTTAACTTCCTTTTATCTCCTAGTCTTTTCAAGAATTATTTCTAGGTGTTGTTTTGCTTTCCTCTAATTTTTCTTACACAGAGGCACTGCTGCTCAAGTATGTTTTGTAAGTATCAGCATAAAGTGGCAGCTGCTAAAGCAGTGGAGATTCCCTCAACAGCAAAGATTGTAGTGGACTTGGATCAAAAGCTGTAAGACAGATGAAAGCAAGGGAGTAAAAAAAAACACATCCCAAAACAACAATGAAGTTCATAGCTTTCAGGAATGCCAGAAACTGAATGGAAAATCTGCCGCATATTTAGTCTTGTTTTAAGAGTTTTGCCCTTTTTTGGAGTGCTTTATTTCTTTGTTGCTTCCCATTTCTTACCCCTCACTTTTACATTCACTTGCAAGTTTAGTAGTAAACATTTTTGAAACAAGACTGTCAGATTTCCTTGGGCCTTGTAGTTCAGGAATAGTTTTTTGCACTTCTTGGCTCTTCAGTGACTAGAAATACTTTTTAAAATTTACTTTGTTTTCTACTAAAAATAAATTCTGGTTATTCTGTCTTGACAGTGTAGTGTACTTCATGAAAGTGATGGTAGTGAAGTTTTGTGAGATTGTATGAATAAAGTCCCTGTTTCTTAACAAACTGCTGTAAAGCTAGGCAGCTTTATAAAAGCTCTTTTGTAAAGCTTGGTTGGGAGAGATGAATTAGCTCCTTATTGCAATCCAGCATACATACTCGTGGAAGAAATAGTTCATGTTTGACACCTTAAAAGCCTTTTAAGGTAAAACTAGCTTGGAGAAAGACATCATTAAATGTAGAACTGAAGAAAACCCCAACTTGACAAAACATTCCTGCTTTCTTGACAGTGGTTTCACTTCAATGATCAAGTTTCTTCCTCTGCATAAAGCAACATAGGCTAGGCCTTTGAGCAGGCAGTTTATAAA